GGTGATTCGCTGGCTGGAAGACGGTGAGCTCTTGGCAACATTGATCCGAGGCATTTCAAATGGTTGAGGAGCAAGGATCTGTGAGTGTCTAACTCGCACCCCGTCTGTTTCACTTCGTGAAAGACCGCAGAGCCAGAGATGGTCCGAATCGGAGAACAGTATACTGATAAGCCAGCCCCTTCAAACGCAAATCTCAAGAACGGTCTGCAATGGGGGGGGTTTCTCGATATAATTGTAGACGTCTTTCAGATCCACTAAGAAACATTAATCCCCTGGGCATACTTTCACGAGGATTTGCTTCAATGTTAACATCTTGAACTGCGTTTCATAATGGTGTGGCCCAAAGCTTGCAAAAATTGTAGGATGACCACCCGTCTCTCTTTGCATTGTACCGCACAGCATTTTCACCCATTGTCCCGCACGTCGTATAATAGGAAATTGTCCCGCATTTTCATTAGTCTGTTGGTTTTTTAATTATCATACATCACACAAGTAAGTTTTTTTTAACCTTTTTAATAAAGCATTTTATCTACTCTTTTGCGGCATAGTTTTTCACGCTTCGTCAGAAGTACAAATACAAAAGCCGTATTTAAATCCTATCCAATGGTTGGAAGGATTGAAAGTTGTGACTGCAGTCAATCAATATGTGGAGCGGTGATTCGTGCAGAATCATGCAGTGCGACTAGAGAAGTCTGATTCATGATTAAATTACTCTTATCAGTCGGTTCTCTTTAGTAAATCAAAAACATTAAGATGAGTCTATAACTAATGTGAGACCAGTGGAATTTGATTAAACCTTCATGCCATCTCAAGCAGCACTATACAGCACTGTTTAAATGTGGGATTTTTTTCCTTTTTCACTGGAGTAACTCTTCATGCAGCTTCTATGCTGTGTTTGCATTATAAAGATGTCATAATGCTCTTTTGGCTTGGAATAGGAATAGAGGAGAGGTGAGCGAGTCTGTTGTTCTCTTGTCTTGATGTCAGTCGAGCAAAAGCTGAAATGACTCATCTCTGAGATGTTTCTCACATAAGCAATAAGCTCATTTGCTGCTTGTCCTCAATTGTCCTTTGCATTTGTTTTCTTGAGGAACACGAATTGCGAATTTGTGGAGCACTTGTAGCTGACAATACATATAAAACTGTCAAGACAATAAAGGTTCAGAGTTGTTTGGTCTTTTTTGTTGTTTATAAGTGTTTGCTTGGTCAGCTCTTTGTGGAAATGTGGAAAGTAGAATTATTGGCATTTTAATCCTTTGCTCAAATAACTAATTTGAAAAAGTGTAAGGCCATAAATATATCTCCGAAGACCTGGTGTGCATGTTTATCAAACATATACCATTTTCCTCCAATAAAAAGGACTGGAGAATGTCAGGGGGGAAAAAGTGAGGGGGAAAAAGAGAGTTATTAAAAATAATGTAGGAAATAGGCAAACATTTTAAAAATTTTAAAAGATTTTTGTTCACTTCCATCCAGTAACTTTATACTATATGCCTAATACTGGAGACGACAGCCAAACAGATGACTCAGTTCCGGAGCCTGGCGAAGGAACGGTGCTAATTTTATACTCTTTAATGTGCGTAAGAGAGGACTGATCAAACATGAAATGTTCTCTCTCCAGATGTATCACACATGACTCATCACTCAATAGAGTTACATAAGACAGCCTGTTTTCATCATTTGTTGACAACACCCCACATTCTTGCAGTCCTTGTGCTGACTTTGAGGAACTGTCAAGTGTTCACCAGCATGTCTTGGACAGCTGGTGCCCTTTAATGGTGAAATATGAGACTAGAATTGTTCAGTTAAGTTCAGTGTCAGTTCAGTTTTTCTGTGATACAAGTACAAAGTGGGTCAGGTGCACTTGAGTGCTTCTTCATGAACTTTTCATGCAGTGCTCCATTATTTAACCTTCAGGCCGTTTTGTATACGACACTGAGTAAATGAAATGCTCATACAGTAAATGTTTAATGAAGCTGTGATATAATGCAAGCATTTGGAAATGCTTTGTGCTCTGCTTTTCATAGATTATGGTCACCATAATCTATCAAAATAGGTCACCTGCTGCTTTCAAGTGAGTTCGTGTACATGCATACTAATATAAAATTTTCTTGATGGTAAAAGTCTCCATGCCTGTTTCGCAGTGATGCTGAAAGGCAAGTTTCTTCCTTGCTACCTTGTTCTGTAAGTACAGCTTCTGGTTTAAACTGATTAAATAAACATTTTTTTCAAACACTTTTTTCATATATGGGAAATTATTACAATAATGTCACATGCCAACTGCTGGTAGACTGTTGTAGTATTGACTACTAGAGTAAAGAACTGTGAGGATTATATATTATAAGCATAAAATTGACTTTCAGTTGTGATTACTCACTGCAATGTGTGCTTTTTCTTATACATTTCTTATAAATTTGACTGTTGTGGGCTAGCTTAATCTTAGCTAGATTCAATTTTGGTGAAACGTTTTTTAACATCTCATTTTAATTTACATAGAGAACCAAAGCGTATAGAGTAATTTCCTGAAGCCAAAAGAAAACCAAATAATGACTACATTTCAAAGCATATTAAACCTTCTGTGGTGTAGGTGTGATTTCTTCAGCTATGCTGATAGCTATTTCTTTATATTTTCCATGCGTCCTCTTATTTCATTCATATTTTCACCATAAAGTTGACCCCTCACTCAGCTGTTGAGTTCTCATTCCCTTGCCATTAGCTCTGTAATATCGTGTTCAACATCGCGCTGCTCGCCGCAAGTGGACTTTATTTTCTTTTTTAAGCTGTTCTCAATTTAATTTTTGAAACAGGGCATTGCTCTAACGACCTATTAACACGTGTCCACTGTGTTTTCACTGATCGGATAGCTACCTAATCTTCGGATCGTGAAAAGACCAGGTGTAAATGCCCTCCAAAACAAATTCAAAACTATTTGCAGTCTGATTACTGAAACCACTTCAGAAGTGTAAATGCAGTTGTTTGTTCAATACACATACTGTATGTAGGTTAGTCCTTCCAAATAATAATAATGAAGGTGCATGTGATTATTAGCCATATAGCACAACACAACTGCAAAAATACATTGCTCTGCCACAGATGAGTATCTCTCCAGGAAGGAGATACTTCAGTGTTTTTTTACGTGAACTTTCCATAGATTACAGGAATTGAAGACCAGATTTATGTTCATTTTGTGAAGATACATTTATGTGACCAAGTATAAATGAAACTGTTTTTACAACTGATAGCTGATAGTGTGAACGTCCCTCAAGTCCTTTTACAGCAGTGCTGAGGGATGATTCACTTGTATTTTGCTCTTAGTTTTGACTGTTATTTCTTGTCTCTGGCTGCTCTGCTGCACCAGATATAATCGATAAAGCAGCAACTCCCCCTCCTGGATGTCTTGTGCTACTACATTTTTTTGAGGAGCTGAGGAACTTTATAACTCATCATGACCCTTTTCACCAATTTTTTTAAACTGTATTTTTATTTTTTTTGCAGTATGATTGTGCCGATAAAACAACTTCTGGTATATTTTCTTCTTCTGATACAAGTTGAACATCAGCTCCGGAAAGCTTCTTCTATGAGGCGAGTGTCTTTGAGCAGCCTAAATCCTGTTTTCTTATGGAAAGATCAGCTTTCTCTTCAAAGCAAACCCATAAAAAAAATTTATCAGTTTTTGACCAGGTTATGAGATTAGTTTTCTTTCTTTCTTGCTTGCTTTCTTTCTTACTTGCTTTCATGCTTGCTTGCTTGCTTGCTTGAGGCTACACTCCATCCCAGTAGGAGGCGGAAATGCACCTCAAGCTGGTTTGCCAACCGAGAGAAATACATAAAAAAAGTAGTAACTGACAGTTAGTTAGTAGACACGAGACCGTCTTGTTTGGTGTGCTGTCTGAAGTTTGCTGCGGGTAAATTTTAATCCAGTTCATACAGTAGTAACGTTAGCTCAAAATACCTTGATTTTGCATTTTGATATACACATCTTTGTATTCTTTGTATTTGTAAGTATGCTTTTATGATTTGTGCCATTTTATGTCAGTAATCACGAACAAGCTATAGCTGTAGCCCATCGTCTCCGTATATTCTCTTTACAGTAAGTTAACTTTACTTTGGTGAATGCTATGAAACCATGTGTGAAGCGAATAAAAAATAATAAAGAAATCTAACCATACACATGGTAATGATGATAAACGCAGTTATGAATGTCTTTAGAAACTAATTTCGATGTGGCTTTGGTTTCGTTTTGATCGCTTCTATTAAGGGAAGTGAGCTCATTAAGTCTGTAGTGCTAGTCCAAACAATGAACGTTCATTACTTTCAGTCTAGAAATGAACTTTTGTACACTTGTCATGAAAATAGCTTTTATGTAAAAATGAAACGTAAACTACCGTTCAAAAGTTTTAGATCATTAGCCTATTTTAAAATGTTTTTTAAAAGAGTCTCTTCTGCTCACCAAGTTAGGCTTTTTTTAATCCAAAATACAGTAAAAAACAGTATTGTAAAAATATCATTACAATATAAAATAACTGTTTTCTACTTGAATTTATTTTAAAATGAAATGTTTTCGATTAAAGCTGTATTTTCATAATCATTACTCTAGGCTTCAGTGTCTCACGATCCTTCAGTATTCAATCTGATGCGATGATTTCAAGAAACATTTTGTCACGGTGTGGGTTTTGTGTCTTGTTCCTTGTTCTTGTCTGTCATGTGATTCCCTGTTTGCCATGTGTCTTATTAATTGTCTGATCATTGTTCCCATGTGGCAGTATCACCCTGTAGCCCAACACTGGTTGCCCACTGAAGCTAAGCAGAGCTGAGCCTGGTCAGTACCTGGATGGGAGATCTTCTGAGAAAACCAGGTTGCTGCTGGAAGAGGTGTTAGTGAGGCCAGGAGGGGGCCCTCACCCTGTGGTCTGTGTGGGTCCTCACATCCCAGTATAGTAATGGGGACACTATACTGTCAAAGAGCACCGTCCTTCGGATGAGACGTTAAACCGAGGTCTTGACTCCCTGTGGTCACAAAAAATCCCAGGATGTCTTTCGAAAGAGTAGGGGTGTAACTATAATCACTGGCTTGCAGCAAAGGCTGTATACGCATACATATACGCATAGTCGAGAAGGGTGACCTCCGACCCGGCGCAGGATGGAGCTCCTCTTCTCTTATATCTAAATCCCCCGGCATGTTTTTTTTTTTTTTTTTCAAACTTCTAATTTTGACTCTCATTTTCTTCTGTGTTTGTCAATTCACATGTTAAAAACTCACAATGTTTGGTGTCTAGGCTCATGGCGTCCTGGACACAAATATTTTAACAATTCATTAAAGAGGAATCACTGGCCTTCTGAGATTTTGGAATGAAAATAAAGGTTAGAATCATGATTTGGTAGTATTACAGCACAGTGTGAGTTTATAATAGCAATTTTTTTGTTTGCGTTTGACATCTGATAAAGCTAAATATAAACCGTAATTGACTGCAGCTTTATTTATAGTCCTCTCCAGAATGTTGATTCAGTTTATTTTTAACTAATACACTTTGAGTATAAATACAGAGAATTAAGTTCACATTATTAAGACTTTTTTTCTATAGTACACGCCTGTGAAAATGCTCAAATGTGGAAATGTTATTAATAATTGTAATGTTGTTTGAATACATCTGTCTTGTACCTCAGGTTTGAAAGGCCTGCATTATGGCGTGTGCACGGCAATCTGCTGTTGAGTTCCTCAAAAACGCCAGGAGAAACCTGGTGACCCATATGAAGGACCTTCCTCTGATCATTGAGAATCTTTATCAGAAGAAGGTTTTCAATGAACATGAGGTCGATGCTCTCAAAGCTGAGAGGACAGAGTTTGATAAAGCCAGATGTATATTGGATTGGGTCATTAACAAAGGGGAAGAGGCCAGTTATGAATTACTCAGGATTTTGGATGTCATTAAGAAGAGGACATTGCATCCTGATTTACACTCCTGGATCTGCTGTTTTCCCTTCAGATGGGAAGAGGAAGAGGTCAGCCTTGCATTTGGTAAGTAGATGAAACGCATTTCAATTAAAAGGCAGTAAATGAACACATTTCAGTACAAATCTTTATTTGTGTTGCTGTTTTAGGTACAAAGCCCTGTCAAAACTACCAGTCAGCGCTCAAGAAGAAAGCAAAAAGGATCCTGAAGGACCAAAGGGAACGTTGCTGTAAATATCCGGATGACAAGGCACAAGGAAACTTCCATTTTATACCTGTTGTTTTAGAGAGAGACTCTGTGGTGAAAACTCCTCAATGCAAAATAAAATGGAAAAACAGAAAATGCAAAAAGCTGCGACCCAAAAAGCTGAGAGCATACATTCCTACTGAGAAACAAACACTTTCACCTGTGGATCTGCTGAGATGCCAAGAGAAGAGCATCCTCCTCATAGGCAAACCTGGAATAGGAAAGACTACAGTCGTCCAGGAAGTGTTGCGTCTGTGGGCAGAGAAAGAGGACCGAGAGCTGGACTACATGTTCTACTTTGATGAAGGTGTTTTGGCGCACAGTTCTAGTGTTGATGATTTGGAGTCTTTTTTGTTTAAAGTGTATTTGAAACCAATGGATAAAGACAGAAAAGACGTTTTTCAAGATATTGAGGAATACTCTGAGAATGTTGTCATTGTATTTGATGGAGTAACTTGTGTGCAAGAAAATTCTGTCTTAGAGAAGATCATGGATCACGAGCTCCTACCTGAAGCAAAGATTATAATTACATGCAGATCAGAAGTAGAAGATGAGCCTCTTTTCAACTGGCCGACATTGAAAGTGTATGTCCAAGGATTCAGTGAAGCGTCTATCAACACTTACTATCAGAAGAAGTTGGGTCACGATCCTGATCTTCTAGATGTTGTTTTGAAGAATCAAGAGCTGTTCAGTCTCAGCCATGTGCCAATGTATGCATTCATGATTGTCACGTTCATTCCATTTAAAAATGACACAGATTTCAATGATTCACACACAGTCACAGAAATGTACATCCACATTTTCCGTCTTGCACTGAAGAAACATAAAAAAATGAAAACAGTTAAGCAAATAGATAAATATCTGATAGAGAACAAAGATCATGTTCATCTCTTGATGGAAGATGCGTACAATGCAACTAAGCAGAAAACCCTGAACCTTCCAGACATAAGCAGTTATGAGGACGATATGTGTCATGTTTTTTTGAAAATGATCACAACCACAGACTCATTATCTTCAGCAACGACGTACTGTGCGTTTCTCCACAACACAATGCAGGAGTTCTTCTCAGCTTTGTGGCTTCTTGGACATCCAGATGAAATTGAGAAAGTCCTACAACTCTGTCAGACTGAGGAGAGTAAACACATGAAACATGTTCTTCCCTTCCTATGTGGACTTCTGGGAGAACACAACATTAAACTCATCAAGTGTCTCTTCCCAGAGGATCAGATAAAGAAAACATCTGACTGGTTCATTGAGAAGTTTTTGGAAACGTTCCTCCAAACTCAGAGTGAAAGTGAAGAGTTTGATCTTCTCTATGTGTGTCAGTGCTTGTATGAGCTCCAGTCTCCTAAAGCGTGCTTCATGTTCCTGGAGAAGATGGACCATCAGCTCGAGCCTGAAGAGGATCTCGACCCTCATCAGTGTTGTGCTTTGGCTTACGTGATCACTCAGTCCAGAGATAAAGAGGTTTATCTGAATCTGGAGGACTGTAACATGACTGACGCAGGAATGAACATGATGCTCAGCTGCTCACCCAAGATCAGGTACTAAGGAATAGGGTTGAAATGATTTATAGCAATATATATATATCGTGGGTGTGAAAATCATTTGCAATATAGTTTTTTCCCCTCCTTAAATATTTATTCTTTCATCATGCTTAAACACTTGTCGTTTTAAACTCATACGATTTTCATTCATCACTTTGTTTTATGAAACCTTTTTAGATGGTTTATTCTTATCATGTAAGTGCATTAGAAAAGAAACAGTGAGAATCGCAAGAGTTGTGTGCGCAGCTTGTAAGAGATCCAGTGAATGCCTGCATTGAAAGCGTTTATTCAAAAAAAATGGAAAAAAGTTTCAGTGACAGAACTACATTAAAATCGTATCGTGATTACAGTATTGTGTATTTTACCAAATCGCAGCATGAGTGTATCTTTACACCCCATCTTTAGTAAGGAAGGATCATGATATTTGACTAGTCAACCAACAACTCTTGGCCTGTATTTAGAGACGCAGTTTCTCACTCTTATAGCCTGTTAAGAGACCGACTCCACAGGACTAACTTCCACAATCCACTCCTGCTATTTCTTTCACTTCAGCCACAATGTTCTTGACTTTTCACCCCCAAAATTTTAATAGATCACGGACTTTATGCAGTTCAGAAATGGCATGCAGGTGTAAGATTAATGTTGTCACAATTAAATATTGAAATCTGAAATGTTTTTCCTATTTGAATATTTAAAGCTCATCTATTCTAGGCCACCCCATAAACCCACAGTAAGAACTACTTTTTTTGCAAACATAATTTACATTAGTATTGAGAACAATAAAACAAATGTTGGAAAGTACATGTAGGGTTTTTTTCTATTACATGCAATTATCAGAGATGAGGTAAATATAGCGTTGCAATTCAAACTACAGCGTATACATGGTGTATTATGTGTCATGACTGAACAGGCGGAAGCAATTGGGTAACACTTTATTTGAAGGGGTGTGCATAAGACTAACATGACACTGTCATAAAAATGACATAACACCTGTCATGAACATGAAGTAGTCTTTATGAATGTTTATGACTTTTGTCATTCAGTAAATTATGACACTTTTAATGCAAAGTTGACATTGTTCAAAATGTCTTTGTTATGACAACTCGACATTAACAAAGGCAGAAATGTCTTTGTTATGACAACTTGACATTAACCAAGAAATCATAAACTGTCAACCTGACATTTTTATAACTAGTCCAACGTGTTCCACTTTACTTGAGGTAAGGGCAGGGTCGGCGCTATGGTGGGGCATTCGAGGGCCGTGCCCCCCCTAGCGCTCATTGATGCCCCTCCTACCACAGTTTCTAAATCATAAATCAGATGTAGGCTATACAATACCAAATGTTCAGCAATCTATTTAAATAGTACATTGTGTTTAATTTGTTGTCTAAGTGGATCTAATATGTGTTGGTGCCAAGAATTTTCACATGAAGAAATAGATACATCCAATCCGACTTTTCTTTGTAAGTGCTATAGTGGTCCAGTGGTAAAACCTTAGACTGGCGTGCAAGAGATTTTGGGTTCTAACCCACACTCGCATAATTATTTTTTTTCCCCCCATCATTAAAACCGATTATGTTTATCAGTGGTTGTCAAGCAGGGACATGTTTGAGTGCATTTCACTTTGGATTTCACCGGTACGAATAGAGATTTCGCCGCAACAGATCAAGCGCGCGTCCGTGTGAAGATGTTTATTGTGGCAGCGCGAGCCACAAGAGAACACTTCAGCACCACAGATCGAGTCAACGAGCACTTTGATCACTTGATTTAAAAAACAACACATTTCAGCGTGCTATATCGCCTCTTATTTAACAAATGAATGCTCTGCTAGGTAATATAACCGGATATGTTTTATTTATTTGTATTGGTACATCCGTGCCGCGAGATCGAGATGTATAAAAGTGCCGGGACAACATCGGCCCTGGCTAAAAGTGGTGGGGAAATTCGCAAATAATAATTATAAATAATAATTATAATAATAAAAGGTGTTTAATTTTTGTTTGTTTGTTTTTTTGCGTCAAAATATTTCTTAAACGGCAGTGCCCCCCCGCTGATGACCCAATGCCCCTCCAGTAGATCTGCTCTGGCGCCGACTCTGGGTAAGGGGAAATATTAATGACACTGTTGTTTGACAGCATTTGACAGTGTAATAACCCTTAATGACATCTTTATAACTAGTACAAAGTGTTCCACTTTACTTGAGGACAAGTAAAATATTCATGACAGAGTTATGGTGTCATGACGGCCAAAGTCAAAACCAACCACACATGACAGGGTAATGTAATGTTAAAACAAAGCTAAATAACTTCTTTAAGTTTGATAATTAGACCTGTTATGACATATTTGTGACAGGTTATGATTTCTTGGTTAATGTCAAGTTGTCATAATCAAGACATTTCTGCCTTTGTTAATGTCAAGTTGTCATAACAAAGACATTTTAAACAATGTCAACTTTGCATTAAAAGTGTCATAATTTACCGAATGACACCTGATGACAAAAGTCATAAACATTCATAAAGACTCCTTCATGTTCATGACAGGTGTTATGTCATGTTTATGACAGTGTCATGTCAGTCTTATGCACACCCCTTCAAATAAAGTGTTACCGGCAAGGGCAGTTAAACTCTTTTATTAAATAGGTAGATGACACAAGCAACAGTCTTATTTCCAGTCCATTTTCTTATTGTTAGCGGCGCAGGGGCTCCAATGGTCAGGTGCAGCGTGCAGTGGTGAAGGTGGTGGTGAAATCCAACGACGGTGATCCAAACAACAGTGAACATGAACTGGAACCAAGGAAGAACACGACTGAGCGAGACAGGAGACACACACACACCGGGAACCACAAGCAACAATCTGACAAACGAGATGAGAAGTTGATGAGAATATATACACATGATGATCGACTGCAGCTGGTGATTGGTGATTGCTGATGAGTGCTGATAGAGCGGCACGCCCCTCTAATCAGCACACACACACAACAATAACAGAAACACGAGAAAAGAAGTAGACATAGGATAGGATTTACCAACCGTGACCGTATGGGCCTGTGGTCCATTAAAAAAATTCAAACGTCTGTTTTTCGTCTCAGTCTCTGTGGTTTTAAGAGATTTCAACCCTGGGGTCATTCAGCGGTCCTTAAGAAGAAGGAGGAGGTCTGTTTTAAATCCTTTTCTTCAGATCGAACAACGTTATCTTGGTTCATCCCGAAATCTGCCATTTCTGAACCAATCAGTCTTTTCCACACTATCTAAAGTTGCCAACGTTGTTCCTTTAGTTGGGCTCATCTTTTTGCTTGGCCATAAAGGTTTTCGTTGGCTAGCGTAGACTGGCAGGTGTAACGGGGAGGCATTGTCTTGAGAATCCATATGCAGCTTTATTAGAACAGAATTCACGTCAAACAGGCAAGGGTCAATCACAGGCTTCAATAACAGTGTAGATAAGGCAGAATCAAAGTCAGAGTTCAGGCTGAGGATCAGGGCTGGCGGCAAACACACAGGGTAATCGAACAACAAGGCAGATGCAATCAGAACAGGCAGGCAGCAAAGATTCAAGGTCCAATAAACAGTCCAGGTCATACACGGGAAATCACACACGGAATAAACGCTCAGAAATGTATGCATGGCAAGACAAGACTTCGCAATGATGAGGCTGAGAGAACAGTTTAAATAGAGAGAGTGAATGGGAAACACCTGTCAGACAAATCAGCCACAGGTACGGGGATTATGGGATTTGCAGTCCAAGGGAATTAGTACTCCGGAGATGCTGACCTCTGGTGGTGAGTGGAGGGCGCCACAGAGGCTGTATTCGTGACAGAGCCCCTCCCCTGTGAGCGGCTCCTGACGCGAGGAGGCAAACGACGCCGGGGTCTTCCTCGAGATCTTGGGGCAGGTTTGTCCGGGTGATCTCTGTGGAAATCACTAGTGAGTGAAGGGTCTAGAACGTCATTAGCGTTGATCCAGGATCTCTCCTCTGGACCGTATCCTTCCCAGTCCACGAGGTACTGAAGGAGTCTGCCCCGACGACGAGAGTCCAGGATTTCATGGACCCGGTAAGCCTCCTGACCGTCGATGATGATGGGAGGAGCTCTCTGGTCACCAGCCTCGTCTAAGCCCTCCTCTCCACTCGGACCACCAGCGGGCTTGAGCAAGGAGACATGAAAGGTGGGTGAGATACGGTAATGGTCAGGTAAGGCTAATCTAAAAGAAACTGGAGTGATTTGTCTGATGATTCTGAAAGGACCCACGTACCTGGGACTGAGCTTCTTGCAAGGTAACCGGAGCCGTATGTTTCGGGTGGACAACCAAACCCATTGCCCTGGTTGGTAGTTGGGATTGGTACGCCGATGTCGATTGGCCTGTCCTCTGGTGCGATGCACTGCCCTTTGTAGATGGACATGAGCACTATTCCACGTCTCCTCACTGCGTTGTAACCATGAATTGATTGCGGGTAAATCCGAGGGTTCTCCAGACCATGGAAACAATGGGGGTTGGAAACCTAGGATGCACTGAAAGGGGGTGAGCCCTGTAGACGGCTTACAAAGTGAATTTTGAGCGTACTCAGCCCATAACAGATAGCGACTCCAGTCGAACTGATTCTTCTGGCAATATGAGCGAAGGAAGCGGGTGAGTTCCTGGTTTAATCTCTCTACTTGACCATTGGCTTCAGGATGATATCCAGAGGTTAGACTGACATTAATGTTCAGTAGCTGACAGAAAGCGGACCAGACTCGGGAGGTGAACTGTGGACCCCGATCAGAGACTATATCCTCCGGTAGACCGTAGAATCGAAACACATTGTTGCAGAGGACCTCAGCGGTTTCCAGGGCAGTGGGAAGCTTGGGAAGAGGTATCAGTCTGCAGGCTTTTGAGAAACGATCAATTACCGTGAGAATGGTAGTGTGACCCTGAGAGAGAGGAAGATCCGTCACGAAGTCGATGGCGATGTGTGACCATGGTCTTTGTGGGATGGGTAATGGATGAAGAAGCCCAGCAGGTAATTGATGTGGAGATTTAGAGGTATTGCAGATGGTGCAATTTTGAATGAACGTGATGGTGTCCGCTCGTATAGAAGACCACCAGAACTTGTTGTTGAGGAGTTGTAAAGTAGCTGTTATACCTGGATGACCGGAACTTGGGTTAGTGTGTACCATTTGTATTACTCTCTGTCTTAGGGCCAGTGGAACGTACATAAGATTAGGTGGGGTTTCAGCCGGTGGAGGTTCGGTGACTTGGGCTTCCGCGATCTCAGTTTATATATCCCACTGCACAGGTGCGAGAATGATGGTGGATGGAATGATGGGTTCTTGATCTGGCGATAGGAGATCTGACTCATAAAGTCGAGAGAGTGCATCTGCCTTGGTATTTTGCGAGCCTGGACGATACGTAACTCTGAAATCAAATCTGGTGAAAAAGAGTGACCATCTGGCTTGTCGATGGTTGAGTCGTTTGGCTGATTTCAGATATTCGAGGTTACGATGATCAGTGAGTACAGTGAACGGATGTTTAGCCCCCTCCAGCCAGTGGCGCCACTCCTCGAATGCCGCCTTCATTGCGAGAAGTTCGCGATTGCCAACATCATAATTCTGCTCGGTAGGATTTAATTTACGGGAGAAGAACGCACAGGGAAACAGCTTGGGAGGTTCCCCCTGGCGTTGTGAAAGCACTGCCCCAATGCCCGTGCTAGAAGCGTCTACTTCAACTATGAATTCACGTTCAGGATCTGGGTGGTGTAGAATTGGAGCGGTTGTGAATCTCTCTTTTAGTTCACTGAATGCTGCTAAAGCTGCTGAGGACCAGGTTAGTCGTTGGGTTCCCTTCTTGATCATGGATGTCATTGGGGCAGCGATACTGCTGAAGTTACGGATGAACCGCCGATAGAAATTGGCAAAACCCAAGAAGCGTTGCAGTTCCTTGAGAGTAGTAGGTTGGGACCACTGAGCTACTGCCTGTACCTTCTTGTCGTCCATGGCGACCCCTCCCGAGCTAATCACATATCCGAGGAAGGAGATGGTCACTTGGTGGAATTCGCACTTCTCTGCCTTGGCGTACAATTGATGTTGAATGAGACGTTTGAGAACCGCTCTGACGTGTTTAACGTGCTCCTCATAAGTCTCAGAGTAAATGAGGATGTCATCGATGTAAACAATTACCCATTGGTTCAACATGTCTCTGAACACGTCGTTAATGAAAGCTTGAAACACGGAAGGGCTATTGGACAATCCGAATGGCATAACGAGATATTCGTAGTGCCCTGTCGTGGTGGAGAAAGCAGTCTTCCATTCGTCCCCCTCACGAATACGGATGAGATTATAGGCACAACGAAGATCCAGCTTGGTGAAATATCTTGCTTGTCTGAGTTGTTCAAGAGCTGCCGGAACGAGAGGTAGAGGGTAACGAAACTTGGTGGTGATGGCATTGAGAGATCGGTAGTCAATACAGGGACGAAGACCTCCATCTTTCTTTTTGACGAAGAAGAAGCCAGCTGATGCGGGTGACGTGGAAGGACGAATGAAACCTTTGCTGAGTTCCTCCTGAATATAGGATCTCATAGCCTCTGCTTCAGGTTGTGACAGCGGAAAGACTCTGCCCTTGGGAGGTTGTGATCCTGGGAGGAGATCTATGGCACAGTCACTGGTTCGGTGTGGTGGTAAGTGTGATGCTTTCATTTTGCTGAATGCCTCGGCTAGATCCTGATAGACACTGGGAAGTACCTCGGTTAAGGAAGTCTCGGTCCCCTTTTTGACAGGCAAGTTGTGAAGACAATTATGAAGACAGAAGTCTGACCATTGAGTGATTTGTTTCTTAGTCCAGGAAATAGAAGGGTTGTGAAGCTCTAACCATGGAAGTCCGAGGATGATGGGATTTTGTGGTGATTGAAAAACAAACAGACGGATGGATTCAGTGTGGAGAACTCCAGTGCTCAACTGCAGATCTTCAGTGGTGAATTTGATGCTACCGGAGCCCAGAGGTCGGCCATCTAGCGCTGCGACTGCCAAATGAGAATCGTAAGGAACAAGGGGAATATTATTATTTCTCGCAAAAGACATGTCGATGAAGTTTCCTGCAGCCCCTGAGTCAATTAATGCCAATGTCTCAATGACCCTCCCATTTATCTCCAGATTAACAGCAATCTCAAAACTAGTAGTGGGTTTGGGAATTGAACTCACCACAGTGGAATTGCGGGATGGTCTGGTAGGACAAGTTGCTCTTAAATGTCCCGGTAATCCACAGTACAAACATAGGCTCTGTCGAATGCGTCTCTCTCTCTCCTCCTCACTGATACGTGTAACACCAATTTGCATGGATTCTACATCTGAGTTGACTGTTGCAAATGTCATGGGGGAAGTGTGCAGACGGTTAGTGCGACGAGATCGAAGGAGATTGTCGATCTTGATGGACAAATCGATGTACTTCTCCAGTGACAGTCCCTCGTCACGACAGGCAAGTTCCGACTGCAACTCCATAGATAAGCCTTTACGGTAGTGGAGCTTGAGAGGATCGTCGGGCCATCCCGTCTGAGCTGCGAGAGTACGAAAAGATAACGCATAATCCGCTGCCGAACCCCTTCCTTGCCGGAGAGATAATAATTGCTCACCCGCCTCCTTTCCTCCAACGGAGTGCTCAAACACCTCTTTGAAGCGTTGAATAAAATCCCTGAACGAAGGAAAGGTTGGTCTATCCTCATTCCATACGGCGGTAGCCCACTCCAACGCTCTCCCCGTGAGAAGTGAACACACAAATGCGATGCGGTTCTCATCTGAAGGATATAGCATGGGTTGTTGATTGACAAACATAGAACATTGAAGTAAGAATCCCTTACATTTATCTGGAGATCCATCAAATTTCTCCGGGAAGGCGAGCCGAGGACTGGCAGTGTTAGGAATAGCCTGTGCCTGTGCCGGTACCGGTGGTAGAGTCGGGGGTGGCGCCGGTATGCCGGGTGCGGAAGGCTGAAGTGCTTGTAAAGCTTTTACCAGCTCTTCAGTAATCGAAGTCAATCGACTGAGCTGTTGCTGGTGGGTGGCCAGGACCGATGCTTGCGCAGTAACCTCCGTGGTAAAATGGTAGAATGCTGCTGGATCGACATCTGGCGAAGTCTTCTGTAACGGGGAGGCATTGTCTTGAGAATCCATATGCAGCTTTATTAGAACAGAATTCACGTCAAACAGGCAAGGGTCAATCACAGGCTTCAATAACAGTGTAGATAAGGCAGAATCAAAGTCAGAGTTCAGGCTGAGGATCAGGGCTGGCGGCAAACACACAGGGTAATCGAACAACAAGGCAGATGCAATCAGAACAGGCAGGCAGCAAAGATTCAAGGTCCAATAAACAGTCCAGGTCATACACGGGAAATCACACACGGAATAAACGCTCAGAAATGTATGCATGGCAAGACAAGACTTCGCAATGATGAGGCTGAGAGAACAGTTTAAATAGAGAGAGTGAATGGGAAACACCTGTCAGACAAATCAGCCACAGGTACGGGGATTATGGGATTTGCAGTCCAAGGGAATTAGTACTCCGGAGATGCTGACCTCTGGTGGTGAGTGGAGGGCGCCACAGAGGCTGTATTCGTGACAGCAGGAGCCTGGATTTTATGTTTTTGGATTGGTGATTTGGGGTCTGAGATGTTGAGTTTTGTGTGAAATTATGCTTGAATGAATCATCTGGAAAATTCATTTGTGTTTGTTTCGCCCTCAAATCCTACAATGCCTACTTTTAACACTTCCCAAGAGTCTATTGTCAGTAAAAATTGTCTGCTTCACACAAACTCTTCTCTGCTTTTAAATCTCCTTTGTAAAAGCTTCACAAGGCATAAATAGTCCTCACTTTAGATTAACTCTAGAGTAAATGGTTAACTGACCACTACTAAATGCTTTATAACGAATCGGAATTAAACATGATATACAGTAGAAATACATGTTAAGCATTTATTAACACGCTAAGTAACTATTACCAGATAATAAGATGTATGAAATCTATGAATGTACATTTAAATAGTTTACTTTTACTTTCTAAGTGATCTTATGAACCCCTGATATTGTAAATAATGCAATGCTTCATTTAGAAATGATAAATTGATCATTAATAAAGTATGAAAATACAATTAAACACATTATAGATATGCTCATAAATGAAGAATAAATGATTTATAGCTGTATTTATAAACTGTTTATTAATGCTTTATAAATTATGAATAAACTGTTCACTAATGATGCAGTTAAAGTGTTAGTGATGTGGTAACCTTAGGGAATGAGATTTGTTATGAATTTAAGAGCTCTAAGGTCTTCACCAAAATACAAGTTGAACTTTTGAAAGCAAAGAAATTAAGACATAAATATTAGTATGTAACGAGGTTAGATGTTATGAGAAGGAGGAGGCAGGAACCGGAGAACATTTAAAGATTTTAATAACAAAATAAAACAAATACAAAACAAAAGTATAAGCCAGCAGCCCCTCACAGATGACTGCTGACCACACAAAACAGAAACAAAACAGAACACAAAATCAGGCCTGTTCCTCTCTCGATCTTCACTGTCTTCTCTCCTCCTTTTATGCTTCCGCTCCTCCGTGAGAGATATGAGACCGGTGTGTCACTCGTTATCAATCACGCCACTGGCCTCGCGCCATGCTCTCACGTCCCTCGACCTCGTCCTGCTCGCCACATAGTATTATAATTTTACTGATGTTCTGTACATTTAAATTGTATTATCATCATTACTATTATTATTAAATTACTTTATTTTACAAAACAATAGAATTATTTCATGCCATAGTAATGTATTTCTTTATTAATTTGCTTAATTGTCATAGTTTAAAATTAGTATTATTAATATTATTATTATTGATGTATGATATCTGTGTTTCAGATTAAAGGTTTGGAAAGAACCACTGAAGCAAATCTCATTCTTCCGAGAATTCTTCCATAAAGCATCTCTGTGCAGTTGCTCCTTTTTTGCCATGAGACACGATAACAACCCAAAACTGTGTGATATTCTGCTGGATCTTTGCTCACATGTGAAGAACTTTGAGACTCAAACAGGCAGGAGTTTCCTTCCAGCATTACAGTCAGTTTTCCAGTCTCCTGATGTCTGGATCATAGATCTCTCACAGAGAAAGACCTCCGTCCTCCTGGAAGTGCTGAAACTCCAGACAGAGAAGAAACCAGTAGAGCTGAGAGGATGTTCAGAGGAAGAGCGTGAAATGAAGAGTTTCCTTCAGTGTCTGTCCTACATCTCACAGCTGAGGTAAGATATTTTACAGCCTTTTGATCAACATGTTTAAAAAAGCTGGAGTACACATTTGTGTATCAAATTAATTCCTTTTTTTAAAATTGTTTTGTATTTAGCTTTGGATGCAGAAATGTGTAAAAATGTATTTGTCACAAATCGCGCCTCTGTGGCTCTCTCCGCTCATCCCAGAGCTCCGTCTCCCGATTATTGAACTACATTTCCCAATAGCCCCGTACCTAGGTCTAATCACCGACACAGGTGTTCCTCATCTACCTCTCCATATAAACAGCCCGCTGACTCTCTATCAGTGCAAAGTCTTGTTTTGCCCCGGCGACATTTCTGAGCGTTTCTCTATTGATTATCTGGATTACCTGTGTATTGACCCGTGAATTGACCCGTGACTGTTCTAGGACCTTGATTCTCTGTTTGCTGCCTGCCCCGACCCTTGCCTGTTTCTTCTGGATTTCGATTGTTGCCGCCTGTCTTGACCTCTGCCTGGTATCGTTTATGTTCTGGATTAAATGCTCTATGTTGAATGCTGATCGTTGACTCTTGCCTGTCTGACTATTCTCAATAAACATACTGCACATGGATCTGCACGCTTCTGACTCTGCTTCACAGAAGACTTCGCCAAACACAAGATCCAGCAGCCATGCATCATCTAGCTTCAGAGCTGTCCACTCAAGCTAATATCCTGGCATCTCACCAACAGCAACTTGTCAAACTGACTACGCTTACCGAACAGCTGGTGAAGTCTGTTCAGTCACTCACGCCTCCTTCTGGTGCTGCGGCTATTCCCTCGGCAGAGTCCGACCCTTCTCCTCCTTTCGTGGGTAATTCATCCAACAATCCCCGCTTATCTCTCCCTGAGAAATATGATGGATGTCCCTCCAAGTGTAAGGGTTTTCTGCTGCAATGCTCCATTTTCATTAATCAGCAGCCCCAGTTCTACCAAACAGACGAGAGTCGAGTTTTGTTTATATGCTCCTTGTTAACCGGCAGAGCTTTGGAATGGGCAACAGCACTCTGAGAAGGAGGTAATCTATCTTTTCCATCCTATCACAGCTTTTTGCAACAATTCAAGGAAGTTTTTGAACATCCTGCCGGAGGGAAAGAACCGGATGAGCTGCTGCTTTCATTACGCCAGGGCGCTTCCTCAGCGGCTGATTACGCTCTATCCTTCCGTACTCTCGCTGCACAGACGGGCTGGGGTGATGACCCACTCAAGTTGCTATATCGGAAGGGTTTGAATACTGACCTACAAGGGGAACTGGCATGTCGGGATGAAGGAAAATCGCTTCATCAACTCATTGATCTGTCCATTCGTCTGGATAATTTAATGCGAGCTCGGCGAGTTCCACAGAGTCACAGAGTCAACGTACCATCAGCTGTAGGTCAGGAGAGCGAACCTATGCAGATCGGCTATACTCGCTTAACCCAAGAAGAGAGAGAGAGAGAGAAGAGTATGCAATCGATTGTGCTTGTACTGCGGTGAATCTGGCCACATGAGGGCGACTTGTCCCAAACGACCCATCTCACGAAACTCTACAGTGGTGAGTTTTCATTTCAATTCCTCAAAATTACTTGAACTGGAGGTTACGCTTTGCTTTGGAGGAGAGAGGATTAATACCACAGCACTAATAGACTCTGGGGCGGCAGGAAATTTCATTGATTTATCTTTCGCTAAGACTTACCATCTCTCTCTTCTTCCATGTACATCCTGGATGGCGGTAGCAGCATTAGATGGACGCCCGTTGGGGAACGGCGAAATACAATACATCTCTCAAGAAATCTCGTTACAGACCAGCACCCTTCACTCAGAACTCATTCAACTGCTTACTATTGAATCACCACGACCCGGCGCCTCTCCTACTCGAGGAAGAATTTTTCCTCTCTCTCAACCCGAATCAGAAGCCATGAAGTCCTACATCGAGGAACAGCTAGCTAAAGGCTTCATACGACCATCCACTTCTCCTGCTTCAGCTGGGTTTTTCTTCGCTAAGAAAAAGGATGGAGGATTACGTCCTTGTATTGACTATTGAAGCCTGAATGAAATCACCGTGAAATTTCGCTACCCATTACCTCTAGTTCCTGCTGCTCTTGAACAGCTCCGTACCGCTAAGTACTTCACCAAGCTCGACCTGAGAAATGCCTATAATTTGATCCGGATCAGAGAGGGGGATGGATGGAAGACAGCCTTCTCAACCACTACGGGGCACTATGAATATAATGTGATGCCCTTCGGATTAGCCAACAGTCCTTCTGTATTTCAGTCCTTTGTCAACGAGATCTTCCGTGACATGCTCAATCGGAATCTTATTGTTTACATTGATGATATCCTGATCTATTCCGAGACTTTTGAGGATCATGTGAGAGATGTCAGTGCGGTACTGCAACGCCTCATTGAGAACCAACTGTTCGCCAAGTTACCCAAATGTGAGTTTCATCAGACGCAGATCGCCTTCCTTGGTTACATAATCAGTGCTGAGGGGGTCACCATGGATTGCGGCAAGGTACAAGCAGTGGTTAACTGGCCGCAACCCACTAACATCAAACAACTACAACGTTTCTTGGGCTTTGCTAACTTCTATCGTCGGTTCATTAGAAACTTCAGCATCATTGCAGCGCCACTTACCTCCCTGCTGCAAGGAGGTGGACATCAGTTGAAGTGGTCATCCAGAAGTTTGGCAGCGTTTCAACAGCTAAAGGAGAGATTCACCACAGCTCCCATTCTGCACCATCCAGACCCAGAGCGAGAGTTTATTGTGGAGGTGGACGCGTCTGATACAGGCATCGGGGCCGTATTGTCACAGCGGCAGGGTAATCCAGAGAAACTTTTTCCTTGTGCATATTACTCACGTAAACTAACCTCAGCCGAGAGAAACTATGACATGGGGGATCGGGAACTTCTGGCTATGAAGGCAGCTTTGGAGGAGTGGCGTCACTGGTTGGAGGGAGCTCATCTCCCTTTTACCGTTCTGACTGATCACCGTAATCTAGAGTACATCAAGACAGCCAAGAGACTGAACCCCAGACAGGCCAGGTGGTCTCTTTTCTTTAGTCGATTCGACTTCAAAGTAACCTACTGTCCAGGTTCCAAGAACGGCAAGGCTGACTCTCTTTCACGGCAGTTTGACAGCTCACCCAGTCCTCGCACTTCAGAGACTATCCTTCCTTCAACCCTCATCGTTGCTCCCATCCAGTGGGACATTATGACGGAGATTTCGGCCGCACAGCAAGAGGAGCAACCACCTCCAGAATGTCCTCCTGATCGTACTTATGTACCAACCCGTCTTCGCACTCGAGTATTGGAATGGGTGCATAATACTCCCAGCGCAGGTCATCCTGGAATTACAGCCACCACTCATCTTGTAACGAACCGGTTTTGGTGGTCGACGCTTCAAGCCGATGTGATCTCCTTTGTACATCAATGCATTGCCTGCAACGTCTCCAAATCATTCCATCAGAAGCCGGCCGGATTACTCCAACCACTTCCAGTACCACAACGCCCATGGTCCCATATCGCCATCGATTTTGTCACTGACCTACCCCCATCACAGAATTTTACCACCATCCTGACGGTGGTAGACCGATTTTCGAAGGCTTGCAGATTCATTCCGCTGGTCAAGCTTCCCACGGCGCTACAGACAGCAGAGGCTTTGGTGCAACAGGTGTTCCGGTTGTACGGATTACCCGAGGATATTGTGTCCGATAGGGGTCCTCAGTTCACTTCTCGGGTTTGGCAGGCTTTATGTGGCCAACTGAATATTAATGTCAATTTAACGTCCGGCTATCATCCACAGGCCAACGGGCAGGTAGAGAGGCTCAATCAGGAACTCACTCGTTTTCTACGAACCTACTGTAACCAGAATCAGCAGGATTGGAGTCGTTTCCTGGTGTGGGCCGAATACGCCCAGAACTCACTATGCAAGCCTTCTACGGGTCTAACCCCTTTCCAATGTATACTGGGTTATCAACCGCCTCTATTTCCCTGGTCTGGGGAACCCACGGATCTTCCGGCCATTGACGCCTGGCTACAGAGAAGTGAGGAAACTTGGAATAATGCTCATGTGCATCTTCAACGTGCAGTTCGACGTTTTAGAGAACAAGCGGACCGTCATCGGAGGAGGGGGACCAATTATCAACCGGGACAGTGGGTCTGGCTATCATCCAGGGACCTCCGTCTCCATCTTCCCAGCAAAAAGCCGAGTCCTAGGTACGTGGGTCCATTCAAGATTCTTAGACAAATTACTCCTGTGTCATACCGTCTTGCATTACCTTCCACTTACCGTATATCTCCCACTTTCCATGTCTCGTTACTCAAACCAGCCGGAGCTCCGAGTGGAGAGAAGGACCAGGACGAGGTTGCGGAGACGAGCTCCCCTCCCATCATCATCGAGGGCGAGGAGGCTTACCGTGTGAGGGAGATTCTTGACTCAAGACGCCGAGGCAGGGAATTACAGTATCTGATCGACTGGGAGGGGTATGGTCCTGAGGAGAGATCCTGGGTAAAGTCTCATGATATACTGGACCCTACACTGATCTCCGAGTTCCATCAACAGCACCCCACCAGACCTGCTCCGAGACCTCGTGGAAGACCTCGGCGTCGCACTGATCCTCGCTTCAGGAGCCGCTCGCAGGAGGGGGGCTCTGTCACAAATCGCGCCTCTGTGGCTCTCTCCGCTCATCCCAGAGCTCCGTCTCCCAAGTATTGAACTACATTTCCCAATAGCCCCGTACCTAGGTCTAATAACCGACACAGGTGTTCCTCATCTACCTCTCCATATAAACAGCCCGCTGACTCTCTATCAGTGCGAAGTCTTGTTTTGCCCCGGCGACATTTCTGAGCGTTTCTCTACTGATTATCTGGATTACCTGTGTATTGACCCGTGACTGTTCTAGGACCTTAATTCTCTGTTTGCTGCCTGCCCCGACCCTTGCCTGTTTCTTCTGGATTTCGATTGTTGCCGCCTGTCTTGACCTCTGCCTGGTATCGTTTATGTTCTGGATTACCTGCTCTATGTTGAATGCTGATCGTTGACTCTTGCCTGTCTGACTATTCTCAATAAACATACTGCACATGGATCTGCACGCTTCTGACTCTGCTTCACAGTATTGAACTGTTATTTTAAGGGCCACAGAGAAGCTGGAAAATAGTCAGGAAAATTAAACTGACTGGTTTTAGAAACCTTAACTAACGTTAGCTCAAAAAGGAAATAATAAATCATTTTAATAAATGAAACTATGAATACACACAACAACACTTAAATATCACACACAGTTCATCTTTGAGGGCCAGCAAAGAATCAAATCACCTTAAGGAACGGGCAAACACTCTTAAACATCTAAATATCGATAGAAATAATACTTACATTGATCCTTTGGTGCAGCGTGTGTGTGTCCGTCCGTGGTTCGTAAGCTTGATGTGTTCTTTGGGTTCTTCTGGAGGGTTCGTCGTTCACGGGAAGTTTAAAAGTTTAACTTATAAGTAAAGTTGCCGAAAATCAAGAAGATGTTGTCTCATCCGAAGGACAGGAAGAAGGAATGATAGAAAATGAGCTGTTGTCCTCATCATTTAAGGATAAATCAGTCCACACCTATTTTGGGTGAAATGGCCAATAGTAGTTATGAACGTTTAGCGGGAGAGAGTTTCTTCGTCTCCTTCTGACAGTCTAACCTGCATGTTTAATGATGATGTCAGAATTGGTCATGTTTACTCCAAAGGATGGTAAACAGTATTATACATGTTATTGTAACACACTAAACATCATTAATAAAGGCGTAACGAGAGGAATATTTCGATACCAAGAAAGAAATGGCTGGAAGATATCAAAGCAGAGAAACATTCTCACACTTGACTATAAGCACTGAGAGTTTAACTAACACAACTAGAAAGTTGTAACTAGGCTAATATAAGCTGGGGACATTCATACACACAGGAATATATCATATACATTCTGGGAAGACTTAATTATGAGTTAAATGGAAAGAATGTGCGTGTGTCTGTATGTTGGGTGTGTTTCTCCAGTTTCTGAGACACATGGCCTTTCGTTCCTGGCGTGGAAGGGAAGTTGAGTTTATAAAGATCTTTTTGAAGCTCACGAAGGAGTTTCTGTTCAGCCTCTGCCAGGACACTAAAGTGATAATGGGGGAAATTTGATCCAGACTCATCGGCGCTAGGCCTGTGATTTACATGAAGAAGTCCAAAAAGGTTCAAAGCTTTCTGAAGTTTAGAACTGAATCGGTCATCGTGACTCAGTCCAGACGCTACACGTTATACTGTATATGGAGACTGGAAAATAGTGTGAAAAATGTCACTCGATTCTGTCCTCTTATAAAAATGTTGCTGTTATGTTTCTTATTATCAGAATAAGTGTTTTTGTGCACTATATAGTTGATTTATAAATGCTGTATGTTGTCATAAATTAACAGGATTTTTATTTCTCTGTATTTGATCAGGTTTAGGTTCTATTATTATAATCATGAAGAAATGAAGAAGTCTGCAGTGAAACTCCTGCTGAATCTCAGTGTTGCTGCAGGTGAAAATGTCACAGTTACAGGAACAAGATTCTCTACTCTGCTGTCGTCTGTGTGCAGTTACAAAACCTTCCCTTTTGACCTAGAGTGGTATGATGATGTTGATCAGTGTGATTTCCTGCTGGATCTTTGCTCACATGTGAAGAACTATGAGACTCAAACAGGCAAGAGTTTCCTTCCAGCATTACAGTCAGTTTTCCAGTCTCCTGATGTCTGGATCATAGATCTCTCACAGAGAAAGACCTCCGTCCTCCTGGAAGTGCTGAAACTCCAGACAGAGAAGAAACCAGTAGAGCTGAGTGGATGTTCAGAGGAAGAGAGTGGAATGAAGAGTTTCCTTCAGTGTCTGTCCTACATCTCACAGCTGAGGTAAGATATTTTACAGCCTTTTGCACAACATGTTTAAAAAAGGTGGAGTACACATTTGTGTATTAAATTAATTCCTTTTTTAAAATTGTTTTGTATTTAGCTTTGGATGCAGAAATGTGTAAAAATGTATTGAACTGTTATTTTAAGGGTCACAGAGAAGTCAGGAAAATTAAAGTCAGGAAAATTAAACTGACTGGTTTTAGAAACCTTAACTAACGTTAGCTCAGAAAGGAAATAATCATTTTAATTAATGAAACTATGAATACACACAACAATACTCAAATATCACACACAGTTCATCTTTGAGGGCCAGCAAAGAATCAAATCACCTTAAGGCACGGGCAAACACTCTTAAACATCTAAATATCGATAGAAATAATACATTGATCCTTTGGTGCAGCGCGTGTGTGTGCGCGCACGGGCGTCCGTCCGTGGTTCGTGAGCTTGAAGTGTTCTTTGGGTTCTTCTGGAGGGCGCGTCGTTCGCGAGACGTTTTCAAGTTTAACTTAAAAGTAAAGTTGGCGGAAATCAAGAAGATGTTGTCTCATCCGAAGGGCAGGAAGAAGAGCGGACAGGAAGAAGGAATGATAGAAAATAAGCTGTTGTCCTCGTCCATTAAGGATAAATCAGTCCACCCCTATTTTGGGTGAAATGGCCATTAGTAGTTATGAACGTTTAGCGGGAGAGAGTTTCTTCGTCTCCTTCTGACAGTCTAATCTGCATGTTTAAAGGAGCATTTCACCCATTGCAACATTAATCTTTATTGAAAGTGGATCATATATGTAGTCGAAATGTAAAAGAATTTTTTAATTTGGTGCCCTCTTAACCGAGAAAAGACAGAAAATAACCAAGGGGTGCCTATATATGAAAAAACTACATGTCCCACAATCCATAGCTCCTCAAGCCACACCCACTAAGGAACAGCGGCGCAAACAGAGAATCCATTCTTCCGTCTACAAGGCTAACATTAGCTGTCACCGGATTTTGAAATTCATTTCACACATAATGTCTAGTTGGCTGTGGCGAACAGGACGATCGAGGGCGAGGGATGTAACTTAAGAGGCCTGCGCTCTGCGCGAGGCCGGTGGCGTGAGTTATAACAGAGACTGATAATGAAAGACACATGTGTGCCGCGCGCCGGCCGGTCCCGCGTCTCTCACGGAGAACCGAAAGCATAAAACGGGGAGCGACGACGGCAGATCGAGAGAGAAACAGGCCTGATTTTATGCTGTGTTTTGTTTCTGTTGTGTGTAACGTTACAGCAGCCGCCAATGAGGGGCTGCTGGCTTATACTTTTGTTTTGTATTTGTTCATTTTACTATTAAAATCCTTAAATGTTCGCCGGTTCCTGCCTCCTCCTTCCCACAACAACAAACCCTGTTAACGTTACATTGGCAATCTCATTAGTGAATTACACCTCATTTTTATTTCTGTTTGGTGAATTACTGCATGTTACCTGGATGTTTAGTGAGGCGAAACTATCACAACACAAACGTCCGTGTGCTCGTCTGATTCAGAGATTTCCTCCAGGAGAAATTGCCATCGTTGAAATTCTCTGCAGCAGACGGACTCTGTGTCCATTGCAGAGTATGTGAGCGGAGTGGAGCGGCAACAATTTCCCCTCCACGCTCCAAGCATTATATAATCACTCCGCTCCAGCTCCGCTCCGGGTTCACCATTTACCGCTCCCGCTCCACTCCTCGCTCACTGATATCAGAAACACCGCTCCGTGTTCGCTCCCCAAGGAAATTCCGAATAAAGTATTTAAGTATGCTTTAAAATCTAACAAAATGTCTCCTCATCATAATAGATACATAGGCATAGTAAATAAATAAAAAAAAAACAACGTTAGGAGAATAGTTGCAATGTTGTTTATTGGATTTGGATAGTGTGCGAACTTTTCCTATGACATGCTATGCTTATTACAGGTTATCAGCATTATAAATTAAATATCATTGCTGCTTTTTGCAGAGCACATTTTGTTCGGAAAGAAGAAAATAACTACGTTTTCATCAGTTATTTATCTACGGGTCGCTACATTTCTCAGATTCATGCTCATTTAAAATCAAATACTGACAGATAGCCGACTGTATGATTACATTTGTTTGAATGCAATGCATTAGTGAGAAAGCGATTGCGTTGGTGAATAAGTGTTACCTGTTTAAAATGTGCTTTCACCCCGCCCGATCCAGCGCCCCATCTCATGAAAGTGCGTAGGCTATCTATATTTTATTTCTCGTGGGCATAGCCTACAATACGCACTTAATGGCAAGAACGCACTTCACACCCATCCTAACCAAGGGGTTTAGTGTGCGTCATTTGCACGCACAAACAATTTTTTGGCATATAATAATAGCACGAGAAATAAAATGTGTGCTATAGATTCGCACTTTCATGAGATCGTGGTGCCCGCTCATATTCAGTACAGGCTTGATAACTATAACCTCCCGCAGCCACTCATGTCCATCGGCGTCATCATAACCCTCACATTTTTTTCTGATTTGAGTGACCCATCTGTATCATGCTAGCGTAATGTGTTTAACACGTGAATCCTTACTAAAAATGCAGTTCTATAATGAGCCGTTGGCATGAATTGTCCTCGTGATAGAGCGGTAGTGGAGCGCGCTCGGAGCGAGTGAAAACCACGACGCTCCGACTTTTAAAAAATCCGCTCCGCGCTCCATTCAAAATCATGCCGCTCCACTCCTCGCTCCGCTCCCACTCCACTCCGCTCACATACTCTGGTCCATAGGCCGTAGCACGCAGCGAGAGCACAGGCAACAGCAAGCCGCCCAGCGCCAGAGTCAGTCTGGGCTCCTCGACCACGACAGGCCGCCGCCTCGGCGTCTCCTGCTGCTCCTCCATCAGCCTCTGCTGCTCTAAACTATACTGCGACTCGTAAAGATAACCACGAACATCGGATTCGAGCAGCAGAATTTCAAAATCCTCTTCTTCCATATCATGTTTAGTTTCTTCCGTCATTGTCATAACTTACTATCTCCACAGCGCTTGTTAGCTTAGATTCCAAACAAGATGGCGGATATTGATTTCAGTTTCTGCAAGTGAAGTCCCACCCACTGATCTGTAATAGGCTTGTAGGGTGAGTGGGTCCAACACCCAGGAATAATAATAAGCTAACATATGCAGTTCTAAAGATTTTAATGAAATATGACTTCCTGCTTATCGTGACGCAAAATGGCGATTTTTTACGTCACGATAAGCAGGAAGTTAAACACTTAAATCCTTATTTCTCCCATCTCAGGGAAAAATAAAGAAAAAAACCATGACCATTCAAAAATATGACTGGGTTTCTAAAGATACAAAGCTTAATGCAAATGGGTGAAGTGACCCTTTAATGATGATGTCAGAATTGGTCATTTTTACTCCAAAGGATGATAAACATAGTATTATACATGCTATTGTAACACACTAAACATCATTAATGGGGGAAACATGACAATGGAGGAAATTTGATCCAGACTCATCGGCGCTAGGCCTGTGATTTACATGAAGAAGTCCAAAAAGGTTCAAAGCTTTCTGAAGTTTAGAACTGAATCGGTCATCGTGACTCAGTCCAGACGCTACACGTTATACTGTATATGGAGACTGGAAAATAGTGTGATAAATGTCACTAGATTCTGTCCTCTTATATAAATGTTGCTGTTATGTTTCTTATTATCAGAATAAGTTTTTTTGTGCACTATATAGTTGATTTATAAATGCTGTATGTTGTCATAAATTAACAGGATTTTTATTTCTCTGTATTTGATCAGGTTTGGGTTCTATTATTATAATGAAATGAATAAGTCTGCAGTGAAACTCCTGCTGAATCTCAGTGTTGCTGCAGGTGAAAATGTCACAGTTACAGGAACAAGATTCTCTACTCTGCTGTCGTCTGTGTGCAGTTACAAAACCTTCCCTTTTGATCAAGAGTGGTATAATGATGTTGATCAGTGTGATTTCCTGCTGGATCTTTGCTCACATGTGAAGAACTATGAGACTCAAACAGGCAGGAGTTTCCTTCCAGCATTACAGTCAGTTTTCCAGTCTCCTGATGTCTGGATCATAGATCTCTCACAGAGAAAGACCTCCGTCCTCCTGGAAGTGCTGAAACTCCAGACAGAGAAGAAACCAGTAGAGCTGAGAGGATGTTCAGAGGAAGAGAGTGAAATGAAGAGTTTCCTTCAGTGTCTGTCCTACATCTCACAGCTGAGGTAACTGAACTTACATGCTTTTGATTGTTGATTTAACCCTCAGAGACCCAGGCATTGATATCCATGATTTTATTTAGTTTTTCATTTTTTCATCATTAAGCATCTTTAGGAAGGCATTGATGAGAACATTTTAATTTCTTTACATATTTGTGTGGATTGGGATGTAATTTGGAAATACAAAGCTAATTTACTATGTTCATGTTCAATAAACTAAGTGAAAGTTTTGATTCAATGCACACATCTATATGTAAAATACTATATTACAATCAGTAAGGACAATGTTTAGAATTTTTTTTAAACCAAGAACTATTTTTAAAAAAGTAATAAATGTAAAAAAATTAAGTTGAACAAAATAAAAATTAAAGAATCGGTCCATGACTGTTGAACCACATTTTTTCCCTTTGTCTGTTATAATCAAAATAATAGAAATGCTCTCCTCTGAATATAACTATAGGCTATGTAAGGTAGTATTTTAACACAAATCCTTGAGATATTAACAACTTCAAATCATTTTTATCTCTTTTAGAGTTTATAAATGATAAATTGAAGAATAGAGTCCATTGTTTTGCTGACCTTAGAAAGATAGTCTTAAATGTAAGTTGATCATTTCAGGGCACATAATGTTGATCAAAAATTAATTACTTTATAAGAATTAAGTAAAGTTCATTATAAAGTTCACTGCTAGAACTGGCTGATCCTGCGTATTTGAAGAAGTCATAATTTAGACACTGAAAACATTTACTGACACTCTAAAGGGAAACACAATGCAGGGGTGTGTAAATATTTACACAGGATGACTGGGGGAAATTGTTGTTATTTTGTCATCTGGAAATAAGTAAGTAAAAAAAAAAGTTTAAAATAAAATAAGGATGATCCAATCCTCATTTTCAAAGGTTTACACCCACCGGCTCTTGATGTGTTGTGTTGCCTTGAGCATCAGTGAATGTTTGCAGCTTTTGATCATTCAGATTCATTACAACACATTTGAACTGGATCTTTTGTGTAAATTGACTTCTTATTATGTCTTGTGGTCTATATGTAAAAAAACGTCATGTGACTTGAACTGTACATATATTTAAAGTTCCTCTCAAGTTACTGTTCATGCAATAAACAATACTAAGTGGTTTATTTTTTATAGAAAGTATTAAAAAGTGCATTTTATCTAGTATTTAATACAATGTCATTAGAAATCAATGTGAATCATTCTGAATTTGCCAAAAAAGAAAAGAAAAACAAAACAATGAATCATAAATTGAATCGTGTGTGTCCAACAAACATTCCCAAAAATTCCCCCCAAGTCACGCAATCCTAGAACGGGCCTGTGTGAGACGCGAGCGCAATGGTCGGTCACACACGTCCGTCTAGCGCATGATTACAGTAAAAAATAATGGACAAGAAGAGCAGTGAATGCTTTTCAGCAGTGTTTGACCTTTTATTTATCATGGCATAGAGATAAATCAGTTAATTCTGTGTGTGTAGAGCATCTAAAGAGAGTCTCCAGAAGCTGGTTGAATGTGTCTATGAAGCTCAGGAAGAGGAACTGACTCAGCACTTCCTGCAGAAAGTGGGCGGAGATCTGACTTCCTGTTCCTTGAGCTGGGAAGAGCTTCACTATTTCCTGCAGCACAGAATTCAACAAATCACTGTGAACTTCAGAAAGAGCGACATTCAGTGCAACATCAGAGAAATCCTGCCATTTCTGAACAGGATTCGGTTTAAACGGTAAATTATTTCTCTCTCAACAACATCTTGAACTGAATAAGTAGTGATAAAAAGATCCATCTTTAATCATGATGTGTGTGTGTGTGTGTGTGTGTGTGTGTGTGTGTGTGTGTGTGTGTGTGTACAGGATAAGCTCTGTCTTCATGCTGTCAGTAATCACAGAGATCTATGAGAGCCGCTCTGTTGGGAGTGTGTCCGGTCTGTTGAGTTCAGTGCAGAACTACATCAGCCTGCAGAGCCGAGATCTGGACTCTGTCCACTGTGCGGCGCTGCGCTTCACACTGCAACACTGCACTGCAGTTTCACTCGACCTGCTGTGGACCTTCATCCCAGAGGAAGAGCTGGAGAGCATTGTGCCTCTCTTCAGACATGTGTCCCGCATTAGGTCTCGCTGCTTTACTCTGGAGAGGCTTCTCAATGCGAAGGCTGCGTTCCTCCTTTACCCGTCCGGAGTCTAGTGTATCTCATATTAATAATAGAGGTTCAATAAACATATATATATATATATTAAAAATCTTTATATTTTGCTAAATGGTTGTGTGATCGAGATATGCAGCTTTTCATTTGAGAAACTCCTTATTTCTCTCTTCTCCTCTTTGTCTCGACTGTTTGTTACATTCAACAGATTCTGTGTGATATAAAAGCCTTGTGGCCATCATGTGTGTGTGTGTTCAGTGTTGATGACGGTGTGTGTGTGTGTGTGTGTTCAGTGTTGACAGGCTGCTGTTACTGAAGATGCTTCACTGCTGCAGTGTCTCTGATGTCCAGCAAGAGTTTTCCTCAGTTCTTCTCTCCGTCCTGCAACACAAGCTGGACTTCTCCTGCCGTTCTGCTCTGGATCTGACAACACACACACACTCTGAGACTCTACATCTGACCACTGAGGACTGCCGTGTGATGACCACAGTCATTCAGAGAGCTCACACAAACACACAGCTGATCCTACAGGACTGTGAGATTCACACAGCTGGAATGGACCAGCTGTTCCCAGTGTTACATGCTGTTAAACTCTGGTGAGAAACATCCACAGATTACATTCACACACAAACAGACAGAAATATAATCTAGATATTTCTCTTTCTGTGTGTTTCAGCTGTGATAAACCTCTGCTGCTTCAGTTTCTGGCTCGTGTGAGTCCTGAGGAAGCGGAGTCTCTTTCTGGAGCTCTGGGTGACGAGGTGGACCTCAGTCAGACTCCTCTGGAGCCGCAGGTCTGTCGAGGTCTGGCGCTGATTCTGGAATATTCTGAAGGACTGACTGACCTGGATCTGAGTCAGTGCCGTCTCACTGATCCCAGCCTGGATCTGCTGCTCACAAACCTCCACAAAGCACAAAACATCGAGTGAGTGACCGAGACACAAACAAGTATGAAGTATGATGTAATATTTCAGCATTTTGTCTGATTTGTTTGTTTGATCTGCAGTTTTAGTGGCAATCGCATCACTGACACTGGGGCTCAGAGAATCTACAGTGTCGTCTGTCGCAACAGTGACATAAAGACAGTAAGGTGTGTGTCTGAACGTCACAGAATCACATTCCCTTCTGAAGTTATTTGAGCTGAAGTCTTATAGTATGCAACAAACATGAGGCTCAAAAATAAAACTGATCTCGGAGTTGAAGTGCTTTCTCTTTGATTCAAGGCCGTTTTGTTACTGCTTTTCCTTCGCTATCTACTACAATTTATCATCCATTAAAAAGAATTAAAACATTGGAACAATTTATGTCTATAAATCTGAATTCTGTTCGTGATGGTGTGTTTGTTTCAGTGTCTAATATCAGTGTGTGTTTGTGTCTGTAGGCTCTTCAACAACAGAATTGAATCCAGAGAGCTCTTCCTCGTGACCCACGATTCGAGATCTGGTGATGATGATAAACTCTCTCAAGCAGGAGAAACAACCCGATGCAGATCTAGAGAGATGAGGCTCGTGAAAAGGTAACGGGTGTAAAGAATCGGCCCATC